CTTCCTGGAGTTATCTTGTGTTATTTCCTGTATTAATGGGGCTTCCCTGCACAATGAAGTATTTCACTTGTTTTATCTCCTTGTAAACATCCTGTCCTAAAATATCTGATTGTTTCACACCTCTTTACCTCAGTGGTTCTCAGTGTTCCTGACACAGCAACCCTTTAATACAGTTCCTTGTGTTGCGGTGACCCCTCCAGTCATAAAATTATTTTCATTGCTACCTCACAACCGTAATTTTGCTACTGTTATGAATTATAATATAAATACCTGATATGCAGGATATCTGATATGTGATCCCTGTGAAAGAGTTGTTCAACCCTCCAAAATGGTAACCCTCCAAAAGGTTTAGAACCTTTACATCCTATGTCTTAAAAAGTTCCATCCAAAATGAAAGATTTTAGCCTCAGGGGAAACTGCTGTGAAGCACAACTCCCAACAGATGTCCATTGTGGCAGCTGCCTACAGCAGGAACACGGAAGGTTTACTTAAAGATATTAAGTCACTAAAATACTTGGGGGCTTGGCCTTATATTCCTCCTATCTTGGGACAGTGTTCTGGATTAAGTTTGAGCTTAAAGGCTCTTGAAATCTGATTGGAGTCAGATTTTAAGGATTTGCTTCATGTCTCCATTCCATCAGGCCAGCACTTAATACCGGCGCGTGTTCTGTGGAAAGGAGCACACTTCTATGGCATTTCTCTGGAAAACTTTGTGGTTTCAGTTGATATTTTCCACATACTTCTAAATTTATTCAGTAGATACTTCTTCATCTACTACTGTGTTCCAGGAATTATTCTAAGGGGTGGGCAGACTTTGATTCAGCACCTGTAAAAGTCTGAGAAAGACCAAGTAGTGCACACCATTTAAGGTGTGCTTTGCTCACCTGGCCTTCTGAGGACACCAGTGGAGAAAAGCTATCCTAGATACCATTTTGGTAGCCAGTTGGCTTTCCAAGACTAAATGCCTTTTGCCAGAAGTGGCCTCCAGAACCATAGCATGGGAGAAGAGAGGAGCCACAGGGATATGGGGGAAGAAAATCATTAAGGAAAAAGAAGTACCCTGACCAGCTTTCCTTCTACACAGAACCTCCCTGAGGGAAGCAGGTTGGGGGCAGGGTGGGCGGTGCTTAAGTCTCTAGAGTTGCCACACTTCCTGTTTGTGCTGGACTGATGGAGGTGATGCAATGTGACCAGCTGGCCTTCTATCCTGCCAGCACGCCTGCCTTCCCGTTACCATGTCTCCCCTACCATGACAGACTGGAACTGTGGGCCCAATAAGCCTCTTCTCCCTTAAGTTGTCACAGCATTTTGTCATGGCAAAGAGGAACTGCGATAGCCTCTTCCCTTTTCATGATTGGGTGCAATAATTCCTACCCCATCTTACCACTTGTGAGGCTCTCACTCTTTGATTTAGAGTACCTTTCTTTTTTCTTTCTTTCTTTCTTTCTTTCTTTCTTTCTTTCTTTCTTTCTTTCTTTCTTTTCTTTTCTTTTCTTTTTCTGCCTTGGTTGGCTTTCATATTAGATCTGCTTCTAGCTGTTGGCATCTTTTTTTTTTTTGGAACTGAATACTCTAGAATTCTCTAGGGACTTCTTTCTTCCTTTCTTTCTTTTTGGTTTTTCATGACAGGGTTTCTCTGTGTAGCTTTGGCTGTCCTGGCCTTGCTTTGTAGACCAGGCTGGCCTCGAACTCACAGAGATCAGCCTGTCTCTATGGCCCAGAATGCTGGGATTACAGATATGCACCACCACACCCGGCTTCTGTAGGGATTTCTACCCATGACAGACTTTGTTTATTCTTGTACTGTACAGGGTGGCCACCACCAAGAGTCCCTGGGACCCCAGTGCTATGGCAAGCCCAGCATGCCCTAGACCAGGGCACTCAGTGACACAGACCCACTAATGTTTGTCCAACTCTCACATAGCTACTTAAACTCTCACTTTGCCTTCTGGGAAAAGTTCTGAAACACAGGCCTGAGATACATCTGCTCAGCAGACTTCTCTGCCCACCATGGACTCCTCTCTGTACCACCCTGCAATGGGCGCAAAAGCTCGCCATAGAGTCCCATCCTTTGTCCTAAGCTCTTTTCTTCGGCCTCAGTGATACATCCTCTCAAGGGCAACACAACCACAGCCAAGCGACTGTGCTCCAAACCCAGCTAAATAATCTGGAAGTTAGAAGTTTGCTCTTCTATGATGGGATCTCAGACTGTCCGACAGCAGTCCCCTTGAGATGAGACCCACCCTTTGGGTCCACCCTGCATATACTACCCACCAGGAGGTGACTCTGTTATCAGATCAGCTTCCACGGGTCATACACAGCAGCTGTGTTCAATAATGCTTCTCTGAAGTAATAATGATCCCAGGCACAAGATGCACAAGATGGGTGATGCTACCCAGCAAAAATGCCAAGGGTAGCCGTAAAAGACTTCTTTAAGTTAAAGGGTGAAAACTCTTTTCAATTTAGCAGTGAAAGAAAATGTTGTCACTCGATGAGCTTGTTATACTCTACAGTATTAAAAAAAAAAAAAAAAAAAAAAGGTATGCTGTCAGCTGGGTGTTGTGTCGTATGTCTGTGATTCCAGAAATCGGGAAGCTGAGACGGGGAGAGTACGAGCTCAGGGTTATTCTCAGCTGTATGAGTGAATTCGGAGAGCCTGGCCTACAGGAGACCTCGCTTGCAAAACACAAGAGGGGATAGAGGGAAATCATATTCCTGTTGCTGGAATTACCCGGCTACTAAGTTGCTGTTTACTGATTTCTCCCCTCACCTGTGTGTGTGTGTGTGTGTGTGTGTGTGTGTGTGTGTGTGTGTGAGAGTGTGTCTCTGTCCATATAAATATGTACATATGTGTAAAGGACAGAGGTCGATGCCAGGTGTCTTCCTCAACTACCCTTTATCCAATTGCCTGCTTTTATGTGTCTGTATCTTTTTGAGACAGGGCCTATGTGGCACTAACTGGCTTGAGCTTATGAAACAACCTCACGCTCACAGAGATCCACCTGGCTCTGCCTCCCGAGTTCTGGGATCAAAGGTGTGCACCACCATAGCCAGACAATCCTCCACCCCGCTTTTTGATCTCTCACCTCACCGAGACTGAGTCTCACCAATTGGTCGGAGTGGCTAGCTAACGGAGCCACCAGCCCCTGCCTTTCCAGCACTAGGGTTAGGCCTGCCACCACGCCCAGCTTTTACACGCGTGTTGAGGATCTGAACTTGGGTTTTTATGCTGGCATGACAGGTGCCCCAGCACCACCAACACCACCGCTGAGCCATCACCCTCACCTTGTAAATTAAACCTTTCCACAAGTATTTGTGTAGAGACAAAAACATGTCAGTCGTTTCTACGGTCGTTGGGTCTTGGAGCATATCCCCAGCTGACTGTTGGCAATCCCACTGTATGCATAGGGAACATGAACACAGGTGGCGAGGGGCACAACTGCACTCCCATCCAGATGCCAGCTCTAAATGCCACCCCTTACCCCCTTGACACTGTACCATAGGCAGCGAGACACCTGCCCACGGTAGAGCTTTGCTGCGAGGTTTCGGCATGCTGAGCCTATTGGGGATACAGACGCTATCCCCACGCTCCCTGTTCCTAAGCTAATTCTCAACAGAGTGAACTGCTGTCTGTTGCTCATGAGAGACTGTCAAGCTGGCGCAATGGCTTCCCAGGAGAAATCTAAGGGAGTCCCATTGACTTGAGCATCGAAAGTGGGCTAAGAGAATGTTTCCGGAAACATTCCCAAGGAACAGATCTGTAATTGGGAAAGAAAGAAGCAACCAAAATATTCCTTCTAAACTCACATGCCTATCATTAAATATCTCCTGGGGGACAAGGGCAGAGAAACCAGGACAGATTTGGGGAAAGGTTGGTCCAATTCTTTTTATTTCCTCATTATAGAAGTTGCCTCGTTCTAAGTCAGTGGAGAGATACCACTGTTAATTGCCAGTACAGAAACTTTCTCATCATGGTGCCCCTTCCACATGTCAGTTTCCAAGAGAAAAGTTAAGGTGAAGACGGCATTGCACACCAAGAGAAGGGAGAGGTTCCCCAGCCTGGACCTCTTAGGATGGTCCACTGTGGGGCAAGGAAGTGGTAATGTGAGAATACTCATTAAGACCTGAAAATAATTGTTCCTATGGATTAGAAAGAATGTTTGATGCTCCCATCTTTCTTACTTTACTGTATTTGAAAAAGCAGAACAAAAGGAGCAAAGATCAATGATAAAGAGTATGGCCATAGCTTTGCCAATGACAAGAGATGGAAATGCAAATGTATCAGGTCTACAGAGCAAGGGTCACATCCGAGAACTACTTCTTGGGGCTGGAGAGGTTGCTCAGTAGATAAAGTTCTTGCTTCAGAAGCATAGGGCTTTGGGTTTGATCTGCAAGACTCCTCCTCCCCCCCCTCCAAAAATAGCTGAGCATGTTAATAGATGTTTGTAAACCCAGTGCTGGGGAGGTCCCTGGGGTTCACTGACCAGCCAACCTAACCAAACTGGGGAGACTCAAGGTGGACAACTCCTGAAGAATGACACCTGAAGTTGACCTCTGGCCACCACATACACACAGGTGCACATTCACTCACATGCTTATTCATATACACACAGTCTCTGTCATCTATCACCTCTCTCTCTATCCATCCATCTATTTATCTATCTATCACGTATCTATTATCTATCTACCTATCACCTATCTTTATCTAACTATTATCTGTCTCTCTATCTCCTTATCTAGGCATAAGGATTCACAACTGTAATCTCCACTCAAGAGACAGAGGGAGAAAGAATGTCACTGGTTCAAAGCCAGGGCTATAGTGTGAGACTCTTGTCTCAAAAACTCTTTCCTCCTAAACAAACAAAGAAAAGAATTCAAGTTCTTTTGCTTACACCAACAGCAGACTTCCTGTACTTCTCCAGCTTGGATAGAGTTTATATTTTGTGTACTAGCTTCTTTATTTTTTCATGAATAAAAATCAGGAGTAAAAATTTCCATCAATTCCCTGTGTTGCGGTTGTGGCTGCCATGTCTCGCGTGCATCAGTAGATGGCAGAGAGGAGAGAGGCTATGTCTGTGTGCCCAATGTCCTGACCTATGAACATCTTAATGATTAGTAGCCTAACACTCCCCAAAAACAGGAAGCCTAAGACAACCACCAGTCCAGCGCCAGGCCCCCAACAGGAAGATATTCTGAGATGAGCACCAGTTCAGCGCTGTGCAGTCCTGGATGGGCTCCCAGGATGGGGAGCAAGCTAGAGACTAGAAGAACCCCTGCCTGGGATGGCAGCCCCAGGCAGGAGTGAGCCTGAGACAGAATGACACCTGAATGGGGCCGGCAGGGCAGGGAGCAAACCCACAACCACCAGACCCATGCCATGGGGCCTGGACAGGGAGAAAGCCTGAGATGACCATCAGTCCAGCACCACACAGCCTGGGTGCAGTGGGGGGGAGCAGGCCGTGCTCAGGATGACCCCTGCCTAGTGCCATAATGCATGAGCAGGGCATAGCAATCCTGAGATAACTCCTGAGATCAGCCCAGACACTCAAAGACCAGGCACCACTAAGAGGAGCAAGTAAGTGGTGGAGAAATGGAAGAGAAAGAGAAACAGAAGGATGTGGGCCCAATGAAGAGAGGCAGAACTGGAGACTCGAGGGTAATGAGGAGCAACCTGATGTGAGCAGCCAGTGATGCCACGTGGGAACATGGTGGGGTCCTGGCCTGTGCTGCCCCCGGGGCCACACCTGGGTCCATGGCCTGGCAGCAGCAGGAGTATGTTACCATCAGAGGCCGGTCCCTGGACATCTGTGCAGAATTGGCCTCACCCTTCACCTAGGCATTGTGGGAAAGCTGGCTCTAGGGGCACGAGAGAAGAAAAGCTAACCTCACCCCAGCCAGCTGCAGTACTCTGGAGAACAGTTCCCCTTACACTGAAGGAACGGCAGGTGAGCTGGCCCTACCACACTGCTTGTCCCTCCGTAGCATGGACATGGGTGAGGTAGGAATACCCTACCCCACACCTTGCTCCTCACCGTCTGCAGCAGGCAAGAGAGCTGGCGCAGACTAGATCATTAAAGCAGGAGAGCTGTTCCTGTCCCTCACCTGCTGCAGCACTCAGGAGAGCAGGCCCTGCACCTCACCTAGACAGCGCAGCAGAGCTGACCCTGATGGCAGGGACATCGGTGTGAGTGTAGGAGAGCTGGCCACACAACTTTTCTGCCATGCAGTAACATTGGGAGGGAGAGATGCTGGCAGGAGAGCTGGTCCAAGGTCATCAGAGAGGGAGAGCTGGCTCTGTCCTTCACCTGCTTAGCTCTCAGGAGAGCAGGCCATGCACCTTGCCTGAACAGGAGGGTAGAGCTGGCCCTGGTTGCAGGTAAGCCAGTCCAAGAGCATTAGAGTAGTGAAACCAGTGGGCCAACCAGCTCAGATACCTCTAGGCTCAGATCTATGACTTTGAATTGGCCCATCCCAACATCTTCCCCATCGATGACCTGTTGTTGTACATTAAGGGCCTGGGGTTGGCTTAGATTTTTAACCAAACCTACTTTATTTGGGGTTCCTAAACTCTTCTACCTCCCTTCCACCCACTGACTAGAGGAAGAGGAGAAAGGAAGTTATTATGTAATGGGGGCTGTAGACCTTTTTAGAAGTAGTTCTTTGGGATGAGTCTACTCTTTATTGTCCCACAATTTATACAGGGCAGGTCAATCTACATCTTGCATGTAAAATAACTATGGCCAGTGGCATTCAGTGACCTACTCAACAGGATCCACTGAATCCATGAATGTAATGTATAAGAACTGTTGTCTGCATGCCTTCATAATTCTTATTCAGTTAATGGAAATTTCTTTTGTCTAAACTTTTTTATTGGCTCTTTGTGAATTTTATACATCATGGACCCTGATCTCACACTTCTTCCCCACCCCTTATACCCATCTTCTACCCTTGCACCTTTCTCCACATCAGAGAAGAAGAAGGAGAAGGAGAAGGAGGAGGAGGAGGAGGAGGAGGAGGAGGAGGAGGAGGAGGAGGAGGAGGAGGAGGAGGAGGAGAAGAAGAAGAAGAAGAAGAAGAAGAAGAAGAAGAAGAAGAAGAAGAAGAAGAAGAAGAAGAAGAAGAAGAAGAAGAAGAA